AAGCCAGATAAAAGAGTAGGAATGAAAAATAATGTGTACTCACTTCTAGAAAACGCATCTAAAAATAGATTAAACAATATTTCGTCCATCTGGTATGATTTATTTTTCATTAGTCCTCCCTACTTGTATTTATGGAAGACCATATTCATATTTGAAGCATTAATTTATTTCATCATTGTATGTACATTTTACTGTTGGATCGTCCTTCCTATAACCCTCCTCGTCTACCATTGGTCAATGAATTAGATTACACTGGGCTGTGAAAAAATATATGTAAAGTGAAAAAAAATGAAATTATGCAGAACGAATGCAAATTTTACTTTATAGAAAAACATTAGTGACCACCCACATACTTTCTGATGCCTGATGTCTTGTACTCCATATCCTGAATACAGATACTTTTTGCCATATTTCAGCAAAAACCATGCAGACCCACACCCACAAACGTATACATATGCACATCCTATATCTTTCATAACTATCTGTTATTCTACTAAAATGTGAGTGCTCATTTCAAATGTACTTGCATGAAGTCACTGAGTGAAATCGCACTTACTTTACTCTCGTATGTAGAAGCACTAGAAACAACATGGCTATTCACACGAGGTGAGGTGGTCTTAGCTCAAAGCTACACACAGTACATACAGTACTCCAACACATTTATCTCATTTACGAACTTAAGAAATACTCTGCAGTACTTTTTCACTCTCAAGGGAGGGTAGCATTCTTATATTTATCACTCCCCCCATCTCTTATTATTATTAATTTAAGACCCTGTTCACAATGTGCTCTGGGTTATCCAAAATTAGAGGCGGCATGTTTCTTCCCCGTGGAATGCACACCTTAAGAACAGTCAAGAATGGGTAAGAATCCATGTTTTGTTTATGCTTAGGTATCCAGATCTCCAAGAGATGTAAAATGACGTACATAGGAACTGCCATAGGAAAAAAGGAAAAATGATCAGATTAATTTAGAGCATTTTTGGATGAAAGCAGAAAGCTGAACAAAATTCTCCAAAAAAAATGTAAACTCGTGGATCAACTGCATTATTTATAGTCAAAGGTAGTTCCATTGATATCAGTGGTTTATTTTTCTGAATAAATTGGAGAGGATTTATCAATATGTTTGTCCCCATTGAGGGAGAACAAGAAGTTTTATAAACACATATTTAAAGTTCTAGCCAGGGTTGTGGATATTTTATGACAAAAATAAGACAGAAAGAATTTAGGAAGAGACAAATATTAAACAGGCAAATGGCTCTGACTGGAAGTGTTTTTTACTATTTCTATTAAAGAGGTGCGAGTGATGGTATGCATTTCAGAGACCACGTCTTTGTGTGCGTTTGAACAACACCTGGAACCATCAGGCCCCTGATTTAAGCGGATGCCTTTAGCAGCTATTACAAAACAAATCATAAACACCATTAGTATTTCTACAGTCATAAGCTCGTTTTAATATTTCCCTGTAACAAAACAATCTAGTGCTGTACCTATTTTTTGGGGCATGCCAAAATTTCTTGTAGGAAATGAAAAATGACAACCCTAATACTGGATTCTGGATTCAGATTGGGCATTATTAAATAGCTATCATGAGTTAATAACAGGGTTGCTATACATAAAGCTCTATTTATGATACCTACTTCATTTTTCACATGTAGGCAAAACCATATGGGGAAAAAAAAAATCAAATCGCTTTAAAATTTTAATTTATCTTTTCTGTCAAAGGAAAAATATGAAGAGTAGGAACAATAATTTTACTAAAATTCAAAATCATTACCATTAAAAGAGGTCATTAAATAGTATTCTCTCTCACAATGTGAAATGGATTAACATTCTGATGACTGATTGGTCTTGCAGAGTAATTCTAGTTAACAGAGTTGAAAGAACAAGTTTAAGGAACCTACTAACTTCATCCAGTTAGAAAGCTTTGATTATCATACAGCCTTTAAATTTCAGCTTCAGTGAATACAATTTGATTATCTTTTTTCTGTCAAGGAACAAATTAAAATATTCTGCTCATAATCCTTTTTGCCATTTGAACTGTCTCATGAAATATCTTATACTGGCAGCCTGTTTTGGTTAGAATAAGACATTTCTGCCAAAAGTACAAAGTATTTTCAACGTGCCAAAATTTCAAACCATGCCAGTGTAAACAAAAATTTAATACCAACCATAAGAGAAGGAATGGAATTATTATTTACTCATTGTTCTTCCTGAGCCATCACTGAAGTGCAAGGGCTGCAGTGAGTCAATAGATGGCAGTCCATCTCTTAGTAAAGAGCTAGAAAATGGATAAAATCTCCAAAAGCTTTACAAAGGAACAAGTGTTGGGTTCTGTTGTTTTAAATAAACATTCATAGTGGTTGAGAATATTTAAATAATACACCAACATTTAAACAGAACTTTTATAAGAATCATTGCCAAAGCAGTGTTACAGAAATGATTTTCAAAGATTATGAACATGTTATGTATTTGTTAAAATATAAATATTGCTCTTTTTGTGTGTGTTATACACAGTCAGCTTACTATTTTTCAAAAATCATTATAAAGCCCATTTTTAACTTGTTATATGTATTGTCAGAATTTGCAAATAATTTATATTAACATTAAATTATGTGCTCGCAATCATGTGCACATACATGTGAACAGATAAAAAAAAAAGTGTATTTTCACTTGTATTCTTTTTCTTTAAATGCTATTACTCTGCTTAAAATATGGATGCATCACAAATCAAGATCATATTTTAATTTGAAGATAATATTTAAATATTGTTATGCCTGGGTGAGACCAAACTGCATTACTTTTTTTCCGTCACAATTGCATAAAAGCACCCAAAAACTTTACCCTGACACAATTTCAGTATATCAATGAATATTTTTGCTCAGCTTCTGGTCTAGAGCTATGGAGAACAATTTAAGTGGAAAAAAAAGGTTGGGCCTGACAAATTTAAGTAGCTTAGATAAAAACAGAATTTCTTACTCTATAACCTCTGCTTTAAATATCTAACTTATCCAATGTCAATAGAAATTTAGAAAAGTATAATCTGATTATGCTTCAGTGAATATAGTTGTTAAAATTGGTCTTCACACGAAATACACTTCATAAATGCAAAGTATTATCATATTTAAACTTAGATTATCTACAGTGACTACAAAACAGCAAAGGCATTTATTAGAAATGAGGTAAGAACTGCCTCAAATAGGAAATACAGCTATGCAAGTATTTCCAACAAATTTCAAAATATTTCTTGAAAAAAAAATGCACCCAAACACTAAACACTTCTCAAACCAATATTTTAACATGACATTTTCATGCATATTTTTTTTTTTTAATTTACAGAAGTGTAAAGTTAAGATACATGTAATAAAATTAGCTGGCTACAGTTCTCCAGCTTAGATTTCTTGTTAAAGAGTCTCAGGAAGAATCTGTTTTTAGACTTAGCTTCCCCCACTCCCCCTGTGCATATTTTTTTGTAGTATTGCTTATACCTGAAGAATTATTCAATGCTCAAAAAGGTCCCCAGTAAAGTATAGTCTGAAAAATCATTTAAAATATAATATCTATTATTATTATTTAAATATATCAATACCATTATTAGATGCCAAGTTTCATAAAAGGTCTAAATATACACCATTTTAACACTTTCTCTGGAAATGAATGATAAAAGATTTACCCTTTTCCTTTGAGTATCTTTAAATAAGCTAACTAATGTAAAGGGAATGCCACTATTCCTCAGTTTTTATATTTGTTTTATTCCATTCAGTACAAAGAAACTAGTCAAACAGAAATGGAGAGTTCAGAGAGCACTCATTTCATTTTGGAAAATGAGAAGTATACAAAACAGAGAAGTTTCCAACAGTGCTTTTGCTTTACTATTATAGTTTAGTTGCAAAAACTGAAAAGGAAAATTTCTAACGCATTGAAAAGACAAAGGCAACAAATTATAAGTACTAACTGCACTTGTTTTCCCTTACTTGAAAGGATAACCTCAGACCCATAGAATAATAAGTACTGAACAAACTTTCCTACTTTGATTACCTTGCAGAAATTATATTGATTATCAATATATGTCAATTAAACACACAGCATACTTATGTTGAACAGAAGAGATGGGCAAAGATCTGATGAACAACTTAACATCCATTTTTAAACTATTTATTATGGCTATAAATCAATCAATTTAAGGTTTTTAAATACAGAGCAATTAAATGTCATCCTAGACCTAATATTGTTCAAAGTTTCTACATCATTAATATATGCACAGTTTGTTTCAATTTTGCATGTGTTTTATATGTGAGAAAGAAATTAGAAAGCATAATAATTGATGTGTAGTGAGCAGTTGGTGTTTTTTTCAACTAAAGACCAACTAAATAGGGGCCAAAGACAATATGAGAGCTGACTTTTTCTTTCAGAATCATGTCCAGAAAGTTTTTAAAGTTTACTTCCATAATTCTCATTTCAATCTCTGGCTAAGATTACTTTATTCAAAGTTAAATAGAGTATTTTGTAATATACACACACACACACACACACACACACACACACACACACACACACACACATTCATTTTGTATTTTGTCATATATACGTTTGTATATGTAATATATACATATAAGTAATTTGTAATGTATACATATACATATATTATATATTTATATATGAGGCTACAATGTTTGGGGAACACTGAGCTATGAATATTGTATACTCTTAAATACTTTAATATAAAGTTTACATTTCTTTTTTACATATATAGTACAAGTAGTTTCTGAAAGACAAGTGATAGAATCAAGGTCACTAAGTTATTTCATTATTAAAAACAATCAGAATTTCTAAAAATATTTAAAAAACAGACAGTGTTTTACTGCATTCTCCAGTTCAAAAACTCTTCAGATGTTTATTATCTTCCTGCAGAAGATACTTGTCTATATTTTATGGTCAGCAGTTCACAGAAGAGTAAATAGGTTGGGTGTAGAAGAAAATAAAAAAGGTGTTTCTACTTACTGTTAGGTGATACTGCCTCCATATTTCTGGGCAAGCCTGGAAAATAAAAATATTGATCAGCTGGGAGCATGAAACAAGGTGCTTTACAGCCTGTTGGTTTTGGCATAACACAGTATCCACCGGTGTCGGTCACAGGAAAATAAGAAGCTTAACTGAAAGGGTCTGCATTTCAGCTTCAAAAACCTGGCTAGACAGTTTAATTGAATTTTACACTGGTTTAACACACTCCCTGCCATTGTCAGAAGGCCAGTAACAGTTTTTCCTCCCCTTTCTTCTCTTAAGGTTAGAAGTTTTGGAGACTAATATGTTATTAAATATCAAAAGTATGAATACTGTAAAACAAACACAGAAACAACAGACTATGAATCTATGTATACAGTACAGACTGTTTTCTAACATTTCAAACTTACGTGCTGTTTTGGAAATTAATTCAGAAGGCACTTTGCTTTGATAAAGTGAATTTAATTTTTATAAAAATATTTTTGTCCATGTCTGCATCCTAATCAAAATATAATTGGGACATGTAATAATCCTCACTAGCCTAATGTCAGATAAGATGTAAACAAGGAGCATAACAGATTGCTTTAATGCTTCTATTTTTACAATGGCTTGCTTTCTTCTGTTTTGATACTTGTCTGTCTTATACACAAACTTAGAAGCACAGTCCACTGTAAAAACAACATAAGTACATTTTGTATAACAGTAGTATCAATAGACTTGAAAAGGGCAGAGGACACTGGAAAGAGAAAAAGCAGAACCTTTTTCATAAACAAAATAAAAATATGTCCTTAGAATAAATGAAACAAGGGTGCTATTTTCCTTAGTATTATTACAGACTTAGTGACATTTTTATTTATAACTTTTTCAATATTGAAGACAATAAAATATGTAATTATTGCTATTTTTAATACTATGCATATTAGAACCATATGTGTATACATATACAGAGTTATTTTAACTTATCTGCATACCATCTTTCAATTTGTTTAGGACTTTACTCCTTACATTGGAAATAATTTCTAAATCATTTGAATAATCTCTCCAGGCTTGTTGGTAAATCTTCATTTAGAGCATTCTCATTAGAAATCATGATAATTCATACCATATTATGTAATTTTAACCTTGAATGTTCAAGTCTCCCATCGTCTTGCAAATTTATACTACTATTTCTCCATACTTTTGAAACAATCTTTTCTCCCATGTCTGATATCTCAAGCTTTCATTTATATTTACAGAACATGTTCATAAAAATGTCATATTAACAAAATGTAATGGAAGTAGAAAAACAAAGGCCTTTGCTAGTGGCTCTATGGCACAGAACCACAGAATATCACAGGACATCTTCTCCAGGTATGTTGGAAATTATACAATTTATTACATATTTTGCCAGTCACAATTTTCTGGACAAAATGTACAATCTGTTTTGTGTGATGGTTCTACATGCTCTCTCTTACTTGCAAATATTTGAGTTTTATATTAATATTTTTACATAGAAACTAATGCAAGATGCATCACATTTCTGGGCATAAGGAAGCAACGCAACGTTTGACTGTTTAAACATACTCAGGCTGTCTTGGAATGCAAACAAAAGGATTTACCTTTTTACCTAAAACGGATACTAGGTTTGGCAGTTAAAGAGGATTCTCAAGTTCAAGATGTATTCAAGATGAAATCACTATTCTATAAAAAATATTCTATGCCAGACATTGCCTGCCTCAAAATTATAAATGGTTTCAACTCTACCTAATATTTTTGCTGGTGCAGCAGAGGGGTAGCAGGCAGTTATTTATACATTAGTTCTGGGTAGTTTTCGATTACCACAGTGTCCCCAGACTAATATGGTTGAAAAATCGCAATCAATGAGTTGTCATATACTGGCAAAATGCCACTCTACCATATGACCTTTACTTACACATCAGCTATTTAATAAAAAAAACTACTTGATTTTAGAATAATCATTTGTTGTTCTGAACATGAAGACACCATTTATTGAGGAAATTTTTTGCTTAAAAACAAACACACACACTTATAATTGTTACTATTAGGAGCTTTTAACAAAATATTCCAAACAGTGGAAGACCCTCTCACTCAACAGTTTTATTATAGAAGAGGTGGGGATTATTGCTGGTAACTATACAGGCATTTTAAGACTGTGGGGGGGAAAAAGGGAGGAGAGGAAAGCTACAGAGAACTGGCCTGACATATTTCTACATTCACAGGGGGATTCAGCATAGGACTTTTCATAATCAAAACGATCACTCACACAAATTCTGAAAGTGTCTGCAACAGTCCAAAATGGATGTTTGGCTGTATGATAGCTTTTTTAATATTATACTTTTAACTTTGAGACTTACTACCTTGCATCAACTCACAGCTACAGTCTACACCTGTTTCTTATTGCAGAATGAAAAAAAAAATATAATTAACAATTAGTACAGAATACTGGCTTCTCAAATGAAGTAAAGTGGTTTGTTATGGAAGAGCGCATAAGCAAATGCAACAACAATTGAACCTGTGATTTCTCTTATTTATTTAA